TTAGAGGACCCCTCCACAGCCCGAGGGGGATGGCATCGAAGGAGTCGCTCCCCTCGCGGACGCCGCCACAGGCAGCGGTTGAGGAACCTCCGTGGCGTCATCACTGGGCGAACCGCAGGGTATGTATCCACCTTCAGAATCGGTCCCCGCCCCAGGTAGGATGACGACTCTCTTTTTCTTCTTCTTAGGGGCGCTCCGACCTGCCAAACACGAACAAGTCAGGTAACGAACACGTAAGGAATCCCCAAACCGTAGCCAAAGAATTACCTGACGGGCCGTACTATCGAAGAAAGGCAGCTCAGGTACGGCACTCCTCCGCATAGGGTATTATTCTTCCCACCCACGATTTAATGTCATCAACGAGCTGGGGTGGAGAAGCCCTCGCTACGAATAAAAAAGAGGAGAAAGAAAAACAAAGGTCACAATGGTCGTATGGTCGAAAGCGCAAGCGGCACTGAAATTTACAAATAGAAATACTTACGTTCTGGATTCCATTTTTCCGGGAAACCCTCGGGATTCGACACCAGGTGCTCCGTCCTGATGTAGAAATATTTACGCCAAAAACGGCGGTTGGGCTTATCATCGGCTTGAACGACCAAGCCCTTTGCGCCACGACCTTTCAACTGCAGCATGGTACCCCTCAGATAACCAGCGCTGAACAACTGTAAGAGGTGGTGGACTGAGACGCTGCACCCAGCCCTGGCCGCATAGGTGGTCATGATACGGCACACCTTCAAAGTATAAGGAGTAAGCTGGGCCGGACACACATTGTAAAAACGGCAAAGCTCATCCGCCAGAGTATATACTGGAAGGTCGTAACCGATCAAGAATGGGTACTCGTAGAAGGCGCAATATCCAGGCCGGTGCACATTGGCATAATCCGTGCCGGCCGGAACCATGTCCACGTGGTCCGGAATACGGTGCGTCTCTCGCAGCTCGTCTAAATGGGATTGTAGCAAAACGCTGTGCTCCCAGGGAAGATCAGGGCTTTTAGTCGGAAAATCCCTGCGAACGTGCATCTCCTTCGGAAGGACATTGTCTACGCTGAGAGGAACAAGGGCCTTCTCCGCCTTTTCCCCTTCACCACCAGAAGATGGCGGAACCCTAGACGGGGCATTATCCTTGGCCTTTTTATTATTTTGTCCGTGTTTTGCCATGATTATACTACTTGAGAAACGAAGCACTGACAATAGGAAGTGTGGTTTCAACAGAAGTGGGAAAATCCCTCACGAAATAACGGTTACAGGAAAGAAAGGCAAAAGGGTGTATCAGAAAATACTTTTCAGAGGCTTGAAAGTGGAATCAGATCAAACCTTTCTCATACTTATAAGGATAAACTGCACAGGAATCGAAGAGTCATGATTCAAAACGTGCGCCGGAAACCAAAACGTCACTTCATCCTCTGAACCGCCTCGGGGGCAAATATAATGATGATGCATACAGGCGATGACATCATTCCAAAAAGGAAGCCACGCGTTAGCGGCTCAACAGCGTCATATGTTTCACTTCGTTCATATTTCCGCCCCCGGTCGAGGTCAAATTCTCCTAAGACGAGGTTCGCATTTCCGCCCGCCGAAGACGCCCACCAAATGCGTCTCCAACGAGCGGAGGGACTAACTGTATAGGGTCAAATTTGACCCTCAGTATCTCTACGCCAGTGGGTACGCCCAATGAGTGTATGCCGGCCAACGTAGCGGGTACGACTCGGCCGTGAGGACCAAGCGACGTCGTTTAGAACTCAGTGTCTATACTAGGGAGACGTTACCTATCTCTGTAACTTTTTGATTCTTTCGAGGAAGGTCTCCTATTATATAAAGGAGACCTCCACATTGTAAAAGGGGTCATCTGATCTAATACAACTCTCTCATTTTCTGTCTTTCTCTCTCTATATCACTACTTCTGACGAAAATACCTTATTAACATACATTGTCACTTTGCAATATTAGATCTACAACAATATTATCATCTTTGCATCTCTAGGCTTATTATATTTGATTACGATTTACCCCTTCTCTATTTTTTGATTGTTTTATCGCTTACAAAATACATCGTTAACTTTTGAGCCAAATAATACATAAAATAGCTTATTAAAGTTCTTATATAGTTCTTCATGGTACTCCGTTCACATAGCCAAATTTCAAATAAACTATAGTTTGCCTAATACCATTCATAGATACTGTTCAGCGCAACGAATATAACCAAGGCGAAATAGGGTGTGTATAAAAAAATACAACCTATATCGAAAAGGCGAAATACAAAAATATAAAAAATTAAGAAATAAAATGCTTTCATTGAAAGTCGAGCTCCAGATATTCGCTTACAAAGTGGATGCTCTAACCAATTGAGGTCTGAAAGCTTGTTGCTCTTTTGTTTCACCTCAGAACAATTAATTTCTTGTGTCAGTAATAGAGGGGATTTTTCATAAAGTTTAATTATAACTACAAATGATAATTTTCTAAAGATATAATTACGAATAATAGATATAGTGTATATGTTTGCCGTGTCGCGTAAATTTTACTTGATATCAACTAACTACAAAAGTTGTTACTGTTAACATGGAACACAAAATTATTTAAGGCAAGAGTTGGCTGGTTGAATGTGAAACCAAAACGTGTCATTATTATTTTTTAAGTTTGATGGAGAAAGGGAACCAACAAGCTTAACAACTACTACCTCAAATAGCTTGTAAGGATGGTTGCTATGTATCGTTTTATGATGTATCATATCGTATCGTGTTATTTTAATGTATATAATGCTTGGATAAATTGTATTGTTTATCGTTGTTTTATAATGTCATGCACAAAAAATATGAAGAATAAACTTACAATATTACTAAGAAAAAATAAGATACGTGGTAGAATTATTAAATAAAAAAGTAAGTAAAAGATAAAATAAGATTACTTAATAATAAGGAAGGATAAGATGAGAAAAAAAAGGTAATGACGCGACCATATCAATTTGGTCGTTACATAAAATGACACTTTTTGTTGTTAATAATAATAAAGTTAATGATACGATATAATAAAATATAAATAACAATTAAAGTAAATATTGTATTTAAAGTAATAATACGATACATTAGGTAACAATCATCCAAACAAGCCGTAAATTACAAAGAACAAAATACTACTAAAAATTATCCTTTGCTTAAAAAAATGAGCAAAGTCCACTTTCCTCCCCAGCTTGCCTTCTTCATTTCATCATTTCCCTCTTTCCTCTCTGATAATATTAAAACTTTCTCTCTCTGAAAACCTCAAACTTTGTAAGAGAGAGAGAAACAAACCGAATGTGTCCCCTTAGGATCATTCTCATCTTCCTCTCTGCAACTCTCGCCGGATTCTTCGTTCTCCGGAACCTCAAATCCCAGCCTAATGTTGATCCCGACGACGACGATGCCGGCGCCGGCGCCGACGACAGTCACGACGATTTATCCAGAGACTCAAATTCGCTTCCTCTCTCCTCCCAGGTATCCATATTTTCTTAGGGTTCACATCTTCCCTATTTTTTATTTGCTCAATTTTAATTGTAATTTGCTGGCTTGTTTGTAATTATCAGGTGTGCAGCGCCATTGGGAAAGGATTTTGGACTTGCGTAGATATGGCTAGTGGGAAGTATCTGTGGAGGCATTTGGTTTCTTCTTCTCCTTTGCCTTCTAACTTGAAGCGCAATCACAGTGATTGATCTAATAAGGGGTAAACTTATTGTTTTTCAGGTTGTTTGGTTCATCAATATTGTAATTGCCCTTGTATTCAATACCTTCCTTTTATATGACAAATCTAGAGTATAGTTTGCTTTGTGGTATTGATGGTGTAATCTGTAAAATGGTACTGTAATCTGTATAGCATAAACTTCCTCTTCTGTTTTTTTACCAAATTATAGGAGTAATATGCTTCTGCGTTGTTGTAATCCAGGGTTTTACGAATACGAATGGGGACTTTTACGAGTCGATGAAAATTTTAATGTTTATGGCACCATTTAATTTGCTGAATATGTTGAAGACAGAAGTAGGAATGTGGTTATTAATTGACATTGTTAGTCTTTATTACCAGTCAAACTTCCATTTAGTGCTCTTGATGGACATGAAAAGTTCCCAATGTTGCTTCTTTTAGTAACTACATTCCTTTTCTGAAGGGAAAGTTGGTAATTTATATAGAACCCATTACTCTGTCCTTGAAATATGTCTTAGATGTAGAGACTATAGGCTTGATCGATAGCCATCACGTAGCATGAAGGAGCATCATTTAGTTTGTATTCAAGCAAATCTTTTCTCATAGTTACCATATGACTTCTGACTCGAAGAGCACGTAGGAGCATGGATATAAACGGATCTTGTTCCTGGCCGTGGAGATTAGTAATCAGACCAATGATTTCGAGGTGAATATATATCTTCCGATGATTAGATGATTTTTCCATCTGAATTACTCTTATGGCGCGGGAATATTTCTTAACATATTTATAGGAGAGTGATTGCAACCTATGTTACATGAACTGTGTTTATAGAATCAAATCCAATATGGTGTACAACCATGCCTAATTTCTTTGCTAAGTCTTAATATTACAGAATCTGGGTAGATACTCTCACCCATATCACCTGTTCAACACAGATACGTTAAGACAAATGAAGGATACATGTAACATAGATTGCAACTACCTTTTTTATAAGAGTATAGATTGCAACTAGTGCAGGCATGGTTGAAAAACTTGGTTTCATGTTGAATGGGTTCTTTGCTCCAGCATGTCAACAAATAAACTTGAATTTACTGAGATTCCGTAGCCAGAAGAACTTTATATGCCAGTTTCATTTCTCATTAGGATTTGGGAATAAAGACGACTTTATGCTGATTCTCAAGAGACAAGAGGCAAAGTACTATGTAAGGTTCAAGGCATCATTAACCTCTTACTGGGGAAGTTCTAATGCTTTTTGTAGGATTCAGTAACTTGGTGTTTTGATGAAGAGGATTAATTAATTATGCCCACATCATGTGCCCTTTCTGTCTTTGTTAGATAGGTAATATATGTAGTCTTCGGAGCTAGATTCTGGTTGTAGAGAGGTGCAATGCACTGCTTTGCTTTGCTTCTAGATTCCAGCACAGCTTATTTCTATTTGATCCAATAGACTATTGCCTTTGTGTATTTGAGGCCTTAAACCACATTACTATAACTGCATCTTTCAGCAGGTTATCTTCCTTATCACTCCTAGCGTTTATATGCTTTTACTAAGGATTGTTGCTTTTAGACTAGCTTTTGGGCGACCATTGCAGATGCCATGAGGCCAACCATTGGTGGATCTAACCATGGGGTCGAGAGTTTGACAGAATCTGATATGTCGGGGTTGATCCCTGTATATGTGCGAGAATAAGTATAGATAAATTTAGGTATATAATATATTTCAGAACTCACTTTCTCAACTCATACTTGCTGCGTTTAAATGTTGAATCCGTCACTAATTAGTACAATCATATACAGTTAACGTTGATCAAATGTGCAAATAGATAATACCATCCTCTTATTTCTAAGATTTTTGGACTTGAAAATTTCACTTCTTAGCAGGTCCACCTGAACATTCTAAAGCAGTAACGTATCAGTTTTTGGATGCCATTCTCCTCGGAACCCCGAGAAAACTGTTATGTCGAGAAAGAAAAAAACTCAAAAATAGAGAAGATAAAAAGAACACCAAATTTTAACGAGATAAACCCTTCAAATCGAAGGTAAAAGCCACATGATTATAAAGATCCAAAAAGTGTTACTATAATGATAAGAGGGTTACAAATATTCTCCAAATTTGTTATAAAATAAGTGCCAAACACAGAGCAACAACAGCAGCAAGAGCAACAACAAACTAATTGAAGAAAGAAGAGAAATCACTCAAAAATGGAGCTACTGTTTGGGGCTTGAAATCAGAATCTACAGGCCTCAAAATCTGATCTCCACTAGGGGTGTGCATTCGAATCGGTTTATCGATAAATCGAATCGATTATTTGTTATCGGTTTATCGATTTCGACTTCGAAATTTTCCTTATCGAGTTATCGATTTCGATTTCGATTTTTCCTCTTCGGTTATCGGTTTATCGATAAACCGATAAGATATACTAAAAAGACAAATTTTTTAAATTTTTTTTAACCCTTATTCTATAATACCCTTTCCTTTACCCTAAGTCCCTGACCCTATTATTTCCTCTACCACATTTAAGGAATGATCATATTTAAAGCTCAAGGGAATGAAGTTCAAATTAATGAAAAACAAAATTAGCCGTGATGATTTTTTTTTTAAAGAAATACCGTTGGAGTGTTGGTGGCATACATTTGATCCCCTACTTTAGTTTCGTTGCATGTACTTGTTGACATAATTTTTATGTTATAAACGGTGTTCATCTTATTTTAGCTTCTTTTTGTCCATATTAGTTAGGCGTGTTTATAGCGATATACTTTCCGTGGAATCCCGCAAATTTTCTTATTGGTGTAATCGATAACCGAATCGATAAGCCCCAAAAATCGATAAATCAAAATCAAAAACCTTATTGAAATGATAACGATAAGCATATGCACAAATCGATAATCGATAAGTAATTATCGATAAGGGTCAAAATCGAATCGATAAATCGAATGCACACCCCTAATCTCCACCGTTCAAATTAAAGATAAAGATGTTATGAATACTTAGACAAAATTTCAGCCCAATCCAACGATGAACGAATCGAAAAACGTAATATTAAAGCTAGATTGGAATAAAATTTGCAGCAAAAAGAACCCCTTTTTTCTTCTCTCTTCTCTCTTGATGGATGCTCTCTCAAAAATCTCTCTTATGTGCTAATTTCTTTTAAAGACTAATACCAATGAGCATAGAACAATCCTCCAAAGTTGTTGTATTTATAGATAATGAATGGTGCTTTCTCTTAAAGCTAAAACCAACTCCAAATAGGAATAAAAATCAAATTCAATTTCAAATAGAAATTAAAGCCAAAAGAGAATAGGATTAGGCCATCGGGCTTTTGGCTGGACAACATAGGCATGAGCTCAACAAATTCCCCATCCAGTCAAGGGGCCAAATATGTCTTCAAGTAGAGGAACTATTGACATGCTTCATGCCTGTCAATTTTTTGTAAAACTCTTGTTTATCTGCAACCACTGCTTTTGTCAGTGTAACAACTTGGAAAAATTCGAAGTGTTTAAAGACCAATAAGAATATTGACTTGAGCTATTATATTAATTCGCGTATGAGCGAGAGATAATGATATGAATAATATCACTTGAACATGATAGTACGTGTAAGAGGTATATTAGATTTGGTCTCAGAAAATTCCTGAGGCTAAGTCAAGTTAGAAATATATGATCGGCTAAAGTTTCAAATGAGTTTGCACAAGGTCCTACTTCAAATGAGCACGATTCCCAAGATATGATGAGTTATGTGGTGGCGACCTATCAAAGAAGGGTCTATGAGTCTAGTTTTCAATGCTTCAAACTGTTCATCACTTGAATATTTTTACAATGAGTTATGGACTTTTTACTGGAGGGTGGTAGTATGGCTACCAGCAGGCCACGCGAGCTGCGTAGCCAATTCTAGAATCCGGCCGACGCCCCTGCATAGCTTTCATGTGTAGCCTACGCAGGGAGGCTACACAAGCTTCATGTCTTTCTTAAAGGGCTGAAATATGGGTTTAGAGAGAAAATAATTTAGTTCTTCAACTTAGTTGATTTCTAGAGAGAAGGAGGAGCTCTTCCACCATGGATACATTTTAAGGTAAGTTATTTTGGCACGAGGATGATTATATAACATCATTTAGTGATAACACTAACATTATTATGGATCAAATTCATAGAAAATGGGTTTAATCTTCAGAAATACCAAAAAGAGAAAAAGTGAGATTCTTCTACCAAGAGGTAATCCATATATATATATATATATATATATATATATATATATATATATATATATATATATATATGATATATTGAAGTATTGGAAGCATGTTTATGAAGTTTATTTGGAGTTATAATTAAGTATTGTAGGAACCTAAGAGTAGGTCTTGAAAATGATAGTTTGGGCAAAGCAGAAGACGAATAGTGATGAATTGATATGGATGGAATTGTTTTGAGTTTCTAATGATCCCGATAGACTTGATAAGTTAGTTGATGAACGAATTGAGGCGGGAATGACCATTTGGATAAGAAACAACACTAGTTCATGAAATGAGTGTTCTTGAACCTAGTGTTTTGTTGAAGAAGACAATGAATAGTGACTTGATGATGTTGGGTAATTAACGTAGTATCATTAATAACTTCAAATTAGTATTAAATAATAAGAATAAAATTGAATAGGCTAATGGGTGAAGCTATTGGATAACTTGGGATGGTTGAAGGTTTGTTGCCGACTTGTGAAGCCTAAATGGATATTGATGAATCTTTATGGGTTTGTTTGAATCTAGTTGGCATATTCAATGGTAGATATCAAATTGTTGGCGACATTTGAGCATTTTAATCAATTGGAGCATTATAGTATTATTTGAAGCTTGAAGTTTGAGATAATTTGATTAAGACTTACTCTTCTTGAGGGATTCTCTCTAAAGCATATTTTGAGTTGATACATGATAGTATTAATAAATGTGCAGCCGTACTTGTGGGGACAAGAGGGAAGGATGTTACCATGTGTTCCTAAGTTATGTTGCTTATTAAGTGTCATGTGATTTTATAAAATTCTTATTTTCATAACTTATTAGCAAAATGAAACTTAAGAAAAATAGTATGAGTTTTATTAAAACTTATGTGTTGATAAGAATATCATATGTTTGAGTGCTAAATGTAATGATCCAATCGGCTGTTTTAATTATTCCAGACCCCCTTTCCCTATTTTATGCTTTATATATGTGTACTTATGGTTCTGTGACTGCGGGGATGGTTGGTTTGGGGTTTAGGAAGGTTTTGGATTGAATTGAGACACTTAGTCCCTTGGTTGGATGCTTAAGTTATAAGAGTTGACGGGAGTTTGACTAT